TTTCTGGTGCTTTCACTTCCAGAGACAGTTGTAAGCATTGTGAAACTGCCTCGAGGGTGCTTGACCATTTTAACACAACGTGGTGCAATCATCCCCCTTGCGCGGAGAGAGGGTTCACCCCGCACAACACGATCTACTCGACCACCATAATGGTTACCGCCAAAAAAAAAACGGAGGTAAAAAAAAAAAACGGTAACCTGGTTGCCGAGTTCACGAAGTGAATTGGCTTGTTTTACAACGTCGTTGCCAAGCGACGAAAACCCAATCCCGATGGCAAACACCAGGGGGGGGATGTCGGTTGTGGGGTATGGCAAAATCATCATGGAAGTACCGGGCCTCCGGACGAGTGAAGAAGAGAAGTCGTTCGAACCCTCTGTCGAAGCTATGTTTTCACGCAAAGATACTCTCACGAGTGCTACAGGGTAGCGCAGAGACAAGGAGAACGGTGGACACATACAAATCGTCTAGATGTTTGCCAGCTTGAGGAGGAGCTGCAAGTAAGCTACATGCCTGGTTCCCCTCGAGGCCCTCACAGGCGTCAATGAATGATTGTACCAGACGAGCGAGAGGTCTCTACTGTAGATCAAGAATAGCGGCATAAAGCTTGACATTTCCTGCGCCTTTGTATGTCGGCCGACAGGTGAAGATGATATACAAGGGCGGGGTATCGAAGAAGGAGAAAGATGACTACGCCAGAGCGATCAGACGAAACGTTATCGAGAGCATGCAGGTGAAGTGGGCAAAGCGCGAGCAAGCGCGTTGAGTGTGCCAAGTGCGTTTATCGGACCGATTACAAGTCGTGCTAAATTTTTCAAGAGAAAGGTTGTTTCGTTTAGTTGCTCCTTGCTACGCCTCCGTGACGCACAGCTTTTCATAGGACCTATTCCATTATATATCAAACTTATTATTCAAGGCGACCGTTTTTTAACGCTTTCATCAAGAGCTGCAGCACATCGTCGCTCAATGTAGAACCAAACACAGTTGGCAAGCCAGCAAACAAACGCACGTTTGAGATGGAAATGTATTGGGACCAAACACAGTCGGACCGCACGTATCATGTTATGTACGAAGAATTACACGTTCTTCTTCCGTCCTCTGCCCTCGTCCAACCCCACACTAGACTCTGATTGAATCGCTCGGGACGCTCGGATTAGCGCTGAAAGGCGACGATCAGGAAGGGCTGAAGGCTGCTATGGAAAATATTGCCGCGTTGACTCCCGAAGACACCCTGACCCCGGAGATAGCAGAGGATGTGTCCAAGCTATGGGCAGACGAGGGAATGCAGGCGAGCGAATTCAAGCGTGCGTCGACACAGGCAATACAGCTGTGCGAAAACTGAAGTCTTACACCCATATGACAACGACAGATAGATGCAGGTTCGCGATATTGCGCGTCAAGGCAATGCACGCCAATACGGCGCGTGTTTTCACGCTCAGGGGCAGTCAAGGAGATGGTCACGGCGCTGTTGCTTGCCACTTCGATCCATTTGAATTTGGACGGATACGTTAGCATGAGAAGAAGCGCGCCGGCCGAAGGCGAGACTTAGAGGGATACCCTCTTACCCTTGCAATCGTCGCAGTCGTCATGCGAGCCTTGGTACAATAGGAACTGTCGACAGCCCGAACCATCTGCCTAGCCGGCGGTTCGTTCGTGGCATTCAAGACATGAGGTGGACGGGAGGCTGCCTTCGTAGAATCCTGTGTGTTCCTGCCGTTGGCAAATTCTGCACCAACCTTACCGCTGCCTTGTTAGATGAAATCCCCGATCGGGTCACATCTGCGATGGGCGCCATCGGGAATAGGAGCGACAAGAGTTCAGTGGTGCAGTACTGTACATCAAGTAGTGTCACGAACAAGCGCCTTCCGCGGTACTAAATAGGCGCAACTTGCGGTAGAAACAACACACCGATGGTCCAATATCCCGGTAGTCTACCATTGACCGACGGAGCGACCTACGAACGTGCTCGATCACCTGGTACAGTCGAAAAATGCACAAGTCTGCCTGTATCATCTCTCCGGGATGTCGTAGGGGTTTCCTAGGCGGGAAGCCTTTAGGAGACCGTGTTTGAGCTCGATTTCAAAGAGGAGAAAAATGTCAGTCAACGCAAGACACGCGCTATGTCCTTGATGTTGCTTTCCCTGACCACTCGACACTTCAGGAGCTCTGGAGTAGAAGGTCGGAGTTCTGGGCTCTTGACGCGACTCCCTACTACCTGCAGGAGGTGAGTGCAGCTGCGTGGCATGACTGGGTGGGATGTCGAAATTTGCGTTTTGCGTGAGCAACGTGCATTGGTGTGCTTAAAGCTTGTACCTTGGTATCCGGTGCCATTTTCCTCTCGGACCAGGTGCCTTCTGATCACTACTATTTCTGTAATCTCTTTCCGATGCCTTTGATATCTCGTGAACAACACGCTTCTTATTCGACAGGCACGTCGATTGGCAGATCCGGAGCTAGAGGTTACCGACGAGGACATGATAATGACTAGGACCAGGACTACGGGAATTATCGTTACCGAGTTTTCGGACAATCCTTACACGTGAGTGCCTGGGCCTGGGGCACGAAAACAGAAGAAAAACATCAAAACCCCAAACGCCGATGCTCATGATCCACCCGCGAGCACATCAGCAACAACACGTTTAGAAACGAGCAATAATCAAGAGATACTGGATGCGAGAGAGTATTACTGTGTGTAGCTATGCCCTCAGTTGTTCTGGTTTTCGTTGGGCCGACGACAACAACCATCATCATTATCCTGGTACACAGGTGGAGATCGACCCCCCTTCCCCAGTGTATCGGATGCCCGCGACACCTTGTGGAGACCTTGTCAAGGTCGGACACCTTGGGGAACACATCCAAGGCCTCAAAAAAAAAAAAGATTTCTTCGCTTCGAGGCCTTGGTTGGGTTCACAAAGGTATCCGACCTCGACAAGGTCTTCCCAAGGGGGTACGGGGATCAGACATCTTGGGGAGCGGGGTCGACCTCCACCTGTGTACCGTTTGCAAGGATCTATAGATATCTTGATGCCACCGAGCGATATTAGAATGGATTGTTGGGAGGATGCAGGTTGGTGTCTTGGTACTGTTCTGTTCCGGTTTCAAGAGTTTCACTAACTGATAGACCTCGGGGGCCCAGCCACTGGTATCTTATGATCTGATCAACGAGCTCTGCTGGTAATCTGTACTCTACAGATAGTACTGCATCAGCATGCGAACTTGTTTGTCCACATGCTGGACCGCATGTGTATTGCGGCGTCAATAGGCACAGGAACTCCATCAATTTGTCTATGGTGGAAGTGCTGTGTAAAAATGTTCATCATGCAGCTGCCGAACCGTTCACCATACAATCCATGCACCGTGATGGTCGCAACGCCATCATCAGGTACTCGCTGGTAGACGTTGGGGGACAACGGAGCGAGCGGCGAAAGTGGATGCACTGCTTCGACGACGTAAAGGCGATTGTGTTTCTCGTGGGGCTGAGTGGTTACCACCAGGTGCAAACAATAAATCTGAATATTCTACAATAGATCTTGTCTCTCAAGTGTGCCCAACCTCACCAACCCGAGGTCCGAGGCAAGTGTGTACAGGCTCCAATACAAGCAGCATTATGAGAGCCGTCGGCGTTTCGCCAAGGGGTGCGACGTCGAGTCCACAACCTCACCGACCAGCGTTCGTTGTCGACAGCGAGTTGCAGAACAAGTGAATTGACCGTGCGGTTCGTGTGAAGTCGGCCATGGCACCAAATCTGTCTCAGGAGGAGCAGGGGAAGCCATTACGACGTTGTTGAAGGTAATTATACGTAGTCTAGTGTCTACAATCCTCCCACCCGTGAGTGGTACGGACGCCACGGGGAGACCAATTCAGGCGGAAGATCCGAGCCCCTAAACAAGCGCGAGTGAAACACTGAGTATTGAGAATGCATCGCCCGACCGAATGAAGAAGACACGTGTGCAATCGGCCTGGAAGAAATCGAAACAGTTTTCACTCATGATGAACTGACTTAGCCTGCAGGAGTGATGGAGATGGGGGGAGAATGGTGTCTGACGCAGCATGTGCGCGTGCGGAGAATCATGATGCACTTCCTTTCTGCCAAAACGAGTCCGACAAAAGTTGAACAAGGACTGAATTGGATGTTGCGTTGCGTCTTGAATGATTGAACTCTTCCCAGGTGTTGTTCGAGGACAACTCGGTCAACCGGATGCACGAATCGTTGGAGCTCTTCACCGAAGTAGCGGGGAACCCCATATTCGAGAAGACGCCAATTTTCGTCTTTTTGAACAAGAAGGATCTCTTCGAGGAAATGATCGTAACAAAGGTACGCATAGGTACAGATTAGCCTTACGCGTGCACCATTCCGATAGAGACGCGGTTATCGTTTCCGAGGCAGTCATCACCTCGTACCTAGTTCAATGGAGCTGGCATTGATCGAGGACTGACAAAAAGTTGCAGGTGCTAGGTAGCCCATGAACGTTTCCAACATTTTTCGTTGTAAGAAATTGTGAGAATTTGTCTTCACAGCTGAAGGGCAAATGGATCCACAACGATCGCCTTGAAACTGATCATGACATCATCTTAACGCGGCTGGAAGGAAATGCTTCAGGCGTTTCAGAGCGAGAGGGAAAGAGAGAGCGACGAGAATGACAGAGAAAATCCAGGGAATGAGTGAATGAGTGGATGAGTGAATGCAAGTGCGCAGTCTCTCAAGTTCATTAAACCAAAACGTTCATCCCCTCGCATTTTTGACGTTTGGTTCCGTGATTATCAGAGCCTCAAGAAGTGCTTCCCGGAGTATGATGGTCCAGACGGAGAGGCCATGCCAGCTTTGAGGTTCATTGAACAGAAGTATAAGCAGGTGGACGCGAATGTATGACGTGAGGTGTTCATCTTCCAGAACTTTGAAATGTACGGAGGAAACCCACGGGACTCTGGGAAAAGTATGATGTACTTCATTCTGAACGCCCCAGGCTGTGGACTAGGACTAGTCTTAAAATATGGAGATGTAATGGAGCAAGAGTGCGTCTGTTGTAGCACCCTCAGCATTTTGGTGTTACGAATAGTCAAATGAAGATGACACGTGAGCCTGAAATACAAGGAGAAAACCTTGACGCACGTAGTGCTAGGTGCGCCTTCACACTGACTGTTGTTAGGCACCGTGAAGTGCACACAAACCGCATAGACTGAATATTCCAGATAGCATTTTATAAGCAATACACGCACTGGATTGACAGGTTTATGAAGTAAAACACATGATTACTTCAGAAGGGAAAATTGTTTGCTTTTGATGATAGAGTGGACAACACACGGTGTGAACAAAGGCAATGATTCTACCCGAACAACAGCAACCGCGGCAACCGTCAGTAGCTTCCCCACCCCGACGTTCTGAAACATCGATCGATCCATTGATATAGGCAATGCTGAGCAAGGTCCCGGGGAAGGACGTCACTGTGCACGTTATCGCGGCAAGAGTTAGAATGGACATGAAGGTGGGCAAGGTGATAGATAACTATATCACGAGAGACGTAAGACAACAATGCGCCTCATGCGTCCAAACACGAAATTCATTAAAACATTAGGAACCCCAACAATAATTATGCACTCGTTACCGTGATGTTCTCGTTTCTTTTCTTCAGATCGCTTTTGGGGAGGTGAAGGACGAGATTCGGCGCTCCTTTGACTCGAAGTCGGCTAGACGCAAGTCATTTTCGAAGCTGGGCTCGCCTAGAGCAGCGATAGAACGGCTCCAGAAAATTGGTTCCCCGCTAAATTCAAGATAAGACAAGAGATAGGCATGGTGTGGAGGGAAATGTCGTCGATATAGTTCTTGCGTTAGTCGTGCGGGCGAATGGGGGGACTCGCGTCTTCCTGATGTACGGAACACGCCTAGATGTATGTAGTACTAAATAACCCTGCTGAAGAAAACGCGTTGAGCGCTCAGTTCAAGATGGGACTTTCATGTGCGGCAAACACCAGTCTATAGATCGGTAGTCAATAATCAAGGAAATTCCGCGAAGTACATTTCTTCGAGTCAATAAGGTGGAAGGGTCTGAGAAATTCCAACAGACTTAGCCGACCCGACCCTCTGTTGATTCAATAATATTTATCGCCGTTAGTGCTGAGGTCTACACTTGAGTACCAGGTAGGCGATATTATTGTTCGGCACTCATGACGGCCGGAAAAGAGAACAAAGAACACAAGCACCGTAGGTAGGCTTGTCGCCGCCTCAACACGACCTTGAAGAAGGCCAGACCACGCAAGACAGGACGGAGCACGGGGTAGCGGGGTGATTGAACCAATGGCAAGAGAAGGGCCTACCGGTCCTGCGTGCTGAAAGTGTAGAGCCCTGAAGGAGGGCTTGCAACGGGCGAAGACAACGGAATGTAAGCTAGCCTGTCTTGACCTGCCTGTATTGTCTCTCCCAGGGCCAAGCGGGTTTCACTCGGTGGGGAGCCAGATGCTTACTCTTGGCCAAAAATCGGCGAGTGGTTGTCCCGCTATTTCTACAGTTCCAGCGTAGAGGTAGACCGACATTTTTTTCATGAAGCGTCAAAACTGCGAAAACAAACACATGCGGGTTGTCCTTAAGGATTGTGTTGTACAGCGTTGTTGAGAAAAAACACACGTTCGTTGTGGTCGAGACGTGCGGTGTTGGCGAACGCATCTATCTGCTCGCACCAAGACTCGCGTATTACTTCTGTTTGCTCCCGTCTTACCTGTTTTGGGGCCTGTCTACACATCTCGGGGTTATGTGATTGACGCATTAGCCAGGGCAGTACAGACACGCAGAGGTCAATGCCTGTTAGATATACTCGGAGCAGTATCTGGTCGTGAGGATCCCATGGGGATACGTGATGGGAATTTCGTGGATTTTAGGGCACCGCGGGTGCTGTCACGGGGACCCTTTTGGCGCGGTTGGAACGATGAGGCTTGCGTGCGTGTTGCGCCACGCTTTCTTCCTTCTTCTCTCCTTCCACCGCTACCGCCGTCACTCTCCAATCAAGTTTCCTTCTCCCACTCTCTCTCCACCTCTCTCTCAACCTCTCACTCTCGGCCTTACACGGCCGACTACCCAGTGCCCCAAGTAACGCCCAGGACGGGCTTGCTCCACCCCGCGTAGTTTAACCTTTCAATGCCAACGCCACCTTGTTTTTTTGCCCGTGACCACAGAAGGCGTCTGATTCAGCCGGACTGGGAAGAAGCAGGTTAGAAGATGACGCTAAGACAACAACAACCATGCCCCACCGTTTTCTCGTGCGGTGCTTGCCTTGGTCTGTACACGAGAAGATTTCATTCCCCCTTCCCAATCCCTCTTCGACAGCGAACTCGACGCGTGAATACTCACGATACTATGGTCCGTTCGGGCAAATATTCACAATCTTGTTTTTTGCGATATCTTTCGAAAAAAAACGATTTGGAAAGTGAAACAACTTTGGGCGTTACCGCGGCGTCGAGCTTCGTCGATATCCGATGAGTTTTTGGTGGTTGGGTGAAATGCGACATTTTTGACCAAAATGACCCACGGAGCCCCCCCCACCCCCTCATGACCCCACGGAGCCCCCAAAGTACACCACGACCCCCCCTCAACCCCTCCCTTCTACACGTATATGCCTTCAGAACATCAGTTAAACCGTTGTCAATCCATATTTACATTATTTACACGTTACATATGGTCCGTTCGGGCAAATATTCACGATCGATCTTGTTTTTCGCGATATCTTTCGAAAAAAAACGATTTGGAAAGTGAAACAACTTTGGGCGTGACCGCGGCGTCGAGCTTCGTCGATATC